AGAGCCAGAGTAACTCCATTTTAAGATCAAGCCCCCTGAGCTATGCTGCCCTCAGAGTAACCCCCAAAGAGAACTGTGCTGCCAAAGAGAAAAATAGTTCTCAGAAAAACCGCAGGTTGCCACCAACCCTGCCCGCCCTTAAGGAACAGAACAGTTGTTCAGGTGTTCCAGCAGAAAAAGGGAAATGTGATCAGGGTGGACTTAAACCCCCTGAACTTGTGAACTTGCTTGTGTGGAAACCCCCTAAACTTGTTTGATACTATAAAAGCTGTGCTAATTTTATGCTCGGGGCCTCTTAGCGTCACCGGTTACAGAGTGCGCGGAGGACCAATCCAGAGCTTGCAATAAACGACTCTTTGCTGTTTGCATTGATTGTGGTCTCTGGTAGTCTAAGAGGGGCGTCCGAAAATCAGGTACTTCAATACCTACTGCTGCGTAACTTTACATGATGAAAACTAAGTAATAATTTATGCATTGTATAAAGAACTTGAGGTAAAGAACAACTAGTTTCATAATGTTGTCTTTTATTATTTCAAAAGTATCCTCATACACTTTAAACAGCACTTTTAAAACCTACCTTGATAAATTTTCATGATGAAGTCTAAATAACTATAAACAATCTTAAACATATAAAATTTTAATGCTATTATGGTAGGAAGTCACACTAATTCCACTTTATATGGTTGCTTCAAGCATCAATGCTTGTAAGGAGAATTCATCCCATGGACCCTGTGGATCATTTACTCATGGGTCAAATTAATTTCTTCAGAATTCTGTTGGCAATTATTCAAATTCATTTCTAAAAACTACAGTTTTCAGCTCTCATTTGTACACAGCTCCCACTGTGTGACAACCAAATATCGTTGAATTATCTATTGTTTCTAGACATTGTATTTTAGTCCCTTAATTTTGATGTGGATATCCTGCCCTAGCTTATTTTTCTTTAATATGCATAAATCAGTTGCATGTTGATAGACACCTGCATTGCGTACTTGATTTCTTTGACATTTAATATAGTGAAACTCTTTTCATAGTTTATGAACATTATTCAAAACATCAAATGATTTATTGTTCAGTGCAAAGAACATTGAAGGTAACAGTGGAAGCTAAATTAACATTGATTACATTGCCAAATCTGTATTTATATAGTATATGAACACTTATTTTAAGTAATAATACTAAGTTTTTCTACAACAGCTGGACACTGGAGCCTCATGCCTATACTTCTAGCTATTCAAGGGGCTGGGATCTGAGGATTGCAGTTCAAAGCCAGCCTTGCTAGAAAGTCCATGACAACTTAATATCCAAAAAACTACTTGAAATAAAGCCAGAAGTGGTGCTCAGCTGTAGAGTGCTATACTTGAGCAAAAAGAAGCTCAGGGACATACACACACACAGTGTATCAAAATTGCATCAATTTGAAACATCAAAAATGTTTATATAGATATTGACTACTAAAGGAAGCACAGTAGGATTTTTTTTATTTAAGCTGTTGATATTAAATGACAACTTAGATATTAATTTCTTTTAATATTTTTATTCAAATTTAGAGAATGAAGGATACATGGATAAAAAGTTCTTAAAAGAGGAAGCACTATTAATACAGGATATTAGAAAAGTATGTATTAGTTTTGATCTTATTGAAAGTCTCAATCTATAAAAAATATACACAGAAATTGAGATTCATAATAGTAAATACTTTACACAGAAGTACACCAGTTTTTACTGAGCCAAATAAAATGTAATAGCCAAATTTCCTAATAACACACTGGAAATAGTTTGGTTCTAAGCATCTTTCCAAATCAAAGTGATCATAGAAAGTTGTTATGATTTCAAAAGAAGTTGCTTTTTATGTCCCTCCCCCACAGTATAACCCCTGCTTTCACTGTATTTGATGCCGGTATAATTTGTGGAGGGGAAGGGGAAAAACAAGTCGTTTAAATAAGGATACAGGTGGACCCATTGCAACAATGAGAAGTACAAGTTGTCATGTTGAAAACGAACTTTACAACTTTGATGGTGAGGGAGGGTTTGGTGGGGGGGGGCAGGGGGAGGCTGGGAAGGAATGGGAAGGGTAAACAAAGGAGGAGGCTACAATGCTTGATAAGAAATGTACTCACTATCTTGCCCATGTAATTGTAACCCCTCTATACAGTGTTTTCACAATAAAAAAAATAAAAAGAAAATAAAAAGAAAAGGCATCTGAATGTTCATGTCCAAAAGGCTTTACTTTACCAAAAGGCTTACTGTATTTCATAATAGATGAAGTATTCTACCCTCATTAGTGGATACATTCATTGATGGACATATAATTTGATAAGATTACAAAGTACACCAGTGACATGGAAAAAGTGGCTCACTGGGGGAGAGAGGAAAAACAATTGTCCTGCAATGGAACACCTTGTCTCCAGGCCTTTGTCTTTGCTTCTTTTTGCCAGCAAGTGAACAGTTTGTTGGAGCATATGATACCATCACAATATTTTCCCACAATATCCAAACTCACAACCAAATTCCAACAAAAACTGGCTTCCTTAAACACACCTGCATTCCTTTCCCCTAGAGATTTTTCCAGAGGTGAGAGTCACAGTCAGAAGAGGGCCATCTTATATTATGTTGGCTGTGCAGCTCAATCATTTTCCTCAGTGTCTGAACACTGTCCCATTTTCCAGTTTTAGCCTGCATCTAACAGGAAGAGAATATTTCCCCTCCTGTAGAAAACAACCCCAAACACCAGGGTTGTGAATCCTGTTAAGAGATCATATACACTGAGACCAAAGGAGGATACTCTTAGGAGAAAACACAACAGTGCAACGCCTAAGTGGTTTTTCACATTTATATAAAACAGAACTGCCCAGGTATGGAAACAAGAGAGCTCTTTTCTTTTGTTTTTTATTTTTTTTCTTATTTTTTGATGATTCTTCTTTTTCTTATGTATGATTCATTCAAGTGTACATCTCTGGAAAGAGGAGAAGAGGGGTGGAAATGTGCAGCAGTGGAGCTCACTGGACAATGATGAGAGTCAACTATACAATCCATGGGTGGAGACAGAAGGGAGGAACTAGGACAGAATGAGGGAACAGAAGATACCATATGAAAGGAAAGGTACCATTACCTGACTTGCATAACTTATTCCCTCTTTACATCATCTCTAAAATAACAATGAAGTGTTAATTTTTTAAACAAATTAATGTATCCACCACAAAGCCTACAACCAAAACACACATACACACACACACACACACACACACACACACATACACACACACACACACACACACACACACACACACTTGCACACAAACCAGGACTGGTCGTCTATTTCTTTTAGTCAAGATAAGTTGCATTTTCAATATCTTGACATAAATATAGCATATACTTGAGTGATCTGTGTCTTGTTCTAGCTTTTATACTAAGCCTATTTTAAGATTAGCAAATTGCTAGAAATACCAAATTGGGTATTTTTTAATGAGATATGTGCAAACTCAGACTATATGCAGTCATTACTAAAGAAGCTTAATTCTATTTTCAGGAATAAAATTAATATATAAAGTGCAATGTTCTTGCTTTTCCATCAGTGGATCTTTTCTTCTTTTGTTTTATTGTGCCAGTACTGGAGTTTGTGCTCACTCCTGGCTTTCTGGCTTATGGCAGGGCCTCTAATACTTCAGACAGAAGTTCGGTGTTTTTGTTAGTTAATGAGAGATGGAACCTTATTGACTTTTCTAGCCAGGCTGTCATCAGATTGAGATCTTCCAGATCTCATACTCTGGAGTAGATAGAATAACAGACATGAGTGTCTGCCAATAACCTCTCATTTGATGCCTCTTGAAATCCAGCACTCTCAAGTGCACTCACCTAGTTTTCTTTCTTGTAGTATAGATTTTAATCCACTGTGAGTTTTCATTTATAGATCATGGGAAATTTCTGCATATTTCTTCAAGATTTCTCTTCATTAGATTTAATAAACAAACATGCATGATAACACACACACACACACACACACACATACACACACAAAGAACAAACAAACTGACTAAAGGATGGGTGCTACACCATAGGGAGAAATCCAAATGTGCAGCTACTAGGAGCAACAAACAGTGTAACAAAATAAATATCAGGAAATTCAGAGAACAGAGGATGAAAGAGTGGTACATAGTGGAAGGAGAATGCATGAGCAAATGCAGTCATTAAATTCAATGTACACTATATAAAAATTGAGCTACATAACTTGAGATTAGGGATGAGATGGGAAAGGAAGAGAAGAGAACAATGGAAGGGGTGATATTGATCATGATGCACTGCACTCATAATCTGACTTTTGGAATTGAAACTCCTTCATACAACTACTAAATAATTTTGTATGTGTGCGCACACGTGTGCATGAGCGTTGGTCCTGGAGCATAAACTCATGGGCTGGGTGCTAGCCTCAAGTTTTTTTTGTTCAATGCTAATGATCTACCACTTGAGCCGCAGCTCTACTTCCAGATTTTTCATTGGACATAAGAGTCTCATTGACTTTCTTGGACTGGCTTTGAACTGTGTTCATCAGATTTTAGCTTCCCGAGTAATGAGGCTAAGAGGCACAAGCCACTGGAGCCTAGTTATAAAAATGCTTGTCCTACACAGCAGTGTCATGATTGCTAGAAATATCCTGTGATATTCAAGTCTTCTAATTTTATACATTTCCTGTTTAATCTAGTATAAATTTTTCCCAACTGACAAGGATATCATATGGTAAAATCTTCCTTCTTTGATTAGCTTTCCTTCTTTATTTTTCTGGGTTCTTCCAGAAATCTTCTGAATTAAATCACATGGCTTAGCTCTATAAAGTTTTGCATCATTGTGTTTTAGTTTTCCTTTCATATATTTGAAGGCAACTGCAATTAATGAAGGCTCTTCACACTGCTTACATCCACTGGTTTTCTCTCCTGCATCTTTCATGCAACTGAAGGTTACTGCAAGAAATAAGGACTTTCATAAATTATATCTGTAGTTTTTTTTTAACCAGTGTGCTTTCTTTCATGTCTGTTAAAGTGACTTAAGTAAGTGAAGGTTTTCCCACACTGCCAGCATCCATAAAGTTTCTCTCCAGTGTGAGTTCTTATATGTGCTTGAAGGTGACTGGAAGAAATGAAGGCTTTGTCACACAGCTTACACACATAGGGTTTCTCTCCAGTGTGAGTTCTCTCATGCCTTTGAAGGTCACCTGAGTTCTTGAAGGCTTTGTCACACAGCTTACACCTGTAGGGCTTCTCACCAGTGTGAGTTCTCTCATGTTTTGGAGGTAACTGCAAAACGTGAAAGCTTTGCTGCACAACTTACAGACATAAGGTTTCTCCCCAGTGTGAGTTCTTTCATGCATCTGAAGGTACCTGGAAGTATTGAAGGATTTCCCACATTGCTTGCACCCATAAGGTTTCTCTCCAGTGTGAATTTTTTCATGTATTTGAAGGTAACTGGAACTATTGAAGGATTTCCCACATTGCTTCCATCCAAAGGGTTTGTTTCCAGTGTGATTTCTTTCATGTCTTTTGAGATAACTGGATGAAGCAAAAGATTTCCCACACTGCTTACACCCAAATGGTTTCTCTCCTGTGTGAGTTCTTGTGTGTATTTTTAGGTGACAGGTAGATGTAAAAGCTTTGCCGCATCGTTTACATTCATAGGGGTTCTCTACAGTGTGAGTTTTCTCATATATTTGAAGGTATCTGGAAGAAGTGATGTCTTGCTCACATTGCTTACATTTGAAGGGCCTTTCTCCTGTGTGACTTCTTTCATGTATCTGAAAGTACCTAGAGGATGCAAAAGCCTTCCCACATTGCTTACATCTATAAGGTTTCTCCCTAGTGTGAGTTCTTTCATGGATCTTAAGTTTAGTGAAAGAAGTGAAGGCTTTCCCACAGTGCTGACATCCATTGACTTTCCATCCAGTGTGAATTTGTTCGTGTATCTGCAGGCTTTTGTATAGAGTGAAGGCTTTGCCACAGCGCTGGCATACATACAGTTTCTCTCCATGGTGGGTTTCATGTCCTTGGAGGTCATGAGAAGTACTGGGTTGAGGACATTGCTTAGATTCTTGAGGATTCTCTCCAGCATGAATCCTTTGATGTTTTTGAAAGAAACAAGAACAACTAAAAGTTTGCCCACATTGCTTACATCCATAGGATTTCTGGACCTTTTGACTCCTCTTTTGACTCTGAAGTTTGCTAAAACTGAAGGATTTCCCCAACTGCTTATTTCTATCAGGTTTCCCTCCAGTGTCAAGTCTCTCATGATCTTGTAGACTACCACACGTAGTGAAGGCTTCCTCACAACACTCACATTCAAGGCGTTTGTCTTCATTGCGATTTTGTTTATGGGTGTGAAAGAAAGTCTAAAAGCTTCTCCGTATTGTTTACACCATAATGGATTCACTTCCTTGTGAGTACCTTCATGTTTTTGAGTGTCATTGAACATCCTGGAAGCTTTCCCACACCAATTATATTCATGATGTTTAACTTCAGGGCTCTTATAATTCTGATCTGAACCCATCAACACAATTTGGGTGATGCTCTTGAATGCATCAGCACATGGTTGAGTCTCTCCAATTTCTTTCTCTTCGTGTCTCTCAAAGCAACAAGAATAAAGGAAAAGCTGATAGCATTGCTTATGAGTAAGTGGGTTTTCTCGATAATCCTGATCCTTATGGGTTTTGTGACCAATGTGACCTTTGAGGGCCTCATTGGTTGGAACTTCTATACAACTTGTGCATGATGTTTCTCCAAGAAGAGATTTGATATTCATAATATGGTCTGGAGGTTGACAGAGAAATTCTGTACAATAAATACTTTGTTTAGGTTCACAGAGTTTCTTTAGTTTTTCAGTTCTGTAAAATAGGAAGAGTGAATTATGACTGTTTGAACTGTAAATTATCTATCATGTTTTAGTTTTAAATCTTATAATAAACAGGCCTTTATTTATGGATTAAAGTTTCTGCATCAGGATTTGAGGAAAGTCATAATCTAAACAGAGATATTTGGACATTTTTGATCAACATTATTTCCATGTTAAACATTTAACTATCTCTAATCATGCAGTGCTACTGCTAGAACCATTTATAGAATGAGAAGCTAAGGACCAAAGGCATGTTGGATTTACAGTCTGTGAGTATACCTATGAGATACGTTATAATGTGTCTCATGAGGTCAATATAAAATTCTTTTTCACTTCATACACACTTGGAACGCAAAATCTGAAGAAATTTGATAAAATATTACAATATATTTCCTGTAGTATCTTGGTGCCCTTCTATTCCCAATATTGGCATATTTCAGACTTTGAACTTTCTAATTCTGAATGATCAACATAAATGTAGATTTAAAGAAAAATTTCTGAGGCTAAATCAATTTCCAGCTATGTTTATATCATTTGTTGGATTTTTAAATGTGCTATTATTCCATAGTACCTAAATGAAGTGCTTTATCTTCTTGGTATAATACGTTGTTGTTATTTTTTCTTTTAGTACCAGGTCTTGAATTTAGTACTAGCTCTTTTCTTTTAGTACCAGGGCCACATGCTCACTTGGCTGATGCTCTAGCACTCAAGCCATGTTTCTAGCTATTTTTGTGCTGATTTTGGAAAAGGAATGTCACAGACATTTCTGTTGCGGTTAACCTTGAACTTTGACCCTCTGAATTAAGCCATCAAGTAGCTAGGATTACAGGTGTGAGTCAATAGTGGCTACCTTACCGTATTTTCCTCTTGAGATTTTTGTAGTCATCTTTAATATCCACTCCTTCCCTTGTTATTCCTATAATAGAGACACAGGGAAATCAATGTCTTATTTGGAATTATTTTAAAAACTTAGATCAAATTATATTCATGGCATGATGTGATTATGCCTAGAATTTTCAACTAATAAAACTTCCATTATCATCATCCAAATAGTGCAAAAGCACTGATTATGAAGAATCAGTAGTTCAAAAGTAATGAAGAAGAAATGATGCAAACCATATTTACCTATAGAAATCAGGTTCCTGAAAGTTTCTAACATCACATCTCTGTAAAGTTTCTTTTCAGAATGATCCATCAATGCCCATTCTTCCACAGTGAAGTTTATGGCCACATCCTCAAAGGTCACAGGCTCCTAAAACATGTGCATACATTTCCAAAGAACATCACAGCACAAGATAAATGGATTCCATGCAAACATACATGAGGATGAGTTCTCCCAGTATTCATGGCCACCAAACTCCTATTCTTGAGCTAAACTTTCAGGTTCTACCATACCAATTATTATTTTTTTTTTTGGGTCCGGTCGTGGGGCCTGAAATCTGGGCCTGAGCGCTGTCCCTCAGCTCTTCAGCTCAAGGCTAGCATTCTACCACTTGAGCCACAGTACCACTTCTGGCTTTTTTTTCTTTTTGCTTATGTGGTGCTGAGGAATTGAACCCAGGGCCTCAGGCATGCAAGGCAAGCGCTCTACCACTGAGCCACCTTTCCAGCCCCATAAAATTGATTTTTGACAGATCAAGCATCACACAATGGTGGTCAGAACCACACATTTCTAATGAATGAGGAAGCAACAAATTCATATCTAGTTGGAAACATGCATAATACTCCCTTCTTTGCTATTGAAATAGATGCAAAAAACTATATCACTATGGTACCAAATGTTCATAGGAATAGCAGTGGGCTATATAGCCAGTTCTAAGTCATATACCAAGACCTGGTCTCACAATAGCCACAAAGAGTATAAAATGTTGAAAGTCACCATCAATTCACCTTTAGATCTCAGAATGAATTTTCCTCTCAATGGAGTCAAAGATAAGCAATAAAGCGAAAACTCTGCACTGGACTCAGCATAAAGCATCAGTATAGAGTGTGTTGATGAGCAAGCAAGAAAAATTGCCAAGACATCTCTATTTAAGATACAAACCATGTACAAATGATGAGTTATGACCCTGATGCATAAAACATCCAAGTGACAGAGAGGTTCAAAGTCACAAGATAAGAGCAGTTGGTTAAGAATGGAGGATCAAGAACACAACTTCCACTGGCATTCCTGTACCTTCAACCCTATATCAATCTGCAATATAGTTATTTATCCTAATATTCAGAGGCTGCATTGTGGATTTGTACCTGAGGTGTTTTTTTTTAACAACCCCCAAAAAGTCATCTTGAAAAAGTCTAATGTTCCTAGTATGCTAGAAAGAAACTTAAAACAACCAGACATTCCAGTAGCTCAGGAAGCCCAAAGGCCCTAGGATCTCTGTGGTGGAAATGACACTCCAACGATCCTTAAAATATCATTCTACTCACAGATCATCTCTCAAACACACCAAATTTGGCCCTCTGCAGTCAGGACACTTCACGTCCATGGAAGAAGCTAGAGTTAGTGGCAAACACTTATCATCCCAGCCATAATGTAAGCCTAGAACCAGCCATATTACTGGGTGGAAAAACAAATCCTGTCTCAAAACTAATTGGTGAAAAGAGAAGCGTGTGTGCCTCAGAAATAAAAGGTAGGGCACCTTCCTAGCAAGGGTACGGCCTAGAGTTCAATCCCCACTACCAAAAAGGGGGAGAGAGAGGGCGGGGAAGGAGAGAGGGAGAGAGAGAGAGAAACGGGGAGGAAAGGAGGAAAAGGAGGAGAATGGAAGGGGAAAGAAGGGGAAAGGAGAAGAGGGAAGAGAAAAAGGAGGTGAAGGAAGATAGGGAAAGGGAGAAAAAAAAGGAGAAGTAAAGGAGTAAAGCAAGGATAGTAGTAGAGGGAAATGAAAAATACAGTATACTGAAATACATCCCAACTCCTAGGAGGGTATACATTGCCAGACACCCACTGTAATACTCCACCCATTCCTAGTATACACTGATAGCTTTAAAAGCTGGCTTTGTGTCATATTTCTCCTAAGTGATTGATGGGAGACTGCCTTGTGAATATTAATTCAGTAACTGGGACCAGATGGAGGAGAAACACAGAGTGAACATCAAAAGAACAAAATGGGCACCTGAAGCCTTAAGAGACATCTTGACACCATCAAAGCACCAAGCTGGACTCAGTGAAAAATGTGGAGGAGGTAGCTATGTAGAAGAGCAGCGGCTACAACTGCCCGTGACCAGGACAGGTGAGCCAAGAGTCTTGGCAAGAAATGAAGCCGCTAAAAAGGTCCTGCTCTATACCTAAGCAAATGTGTCATTGAAAAAAGATTGTCCCAGGATTGAAGGCAGCTGGGATCAAAGGCAAAAAATGATTGACCACTATGTCCTACCAAAACTTCCTAGGCCCTCTGAATCCCTTTCTTTTTCTTTTCTTTTGTTTTGGCTTTGAATATTCTATTTTTAATTTTTTAATATTTTAATTTGTTTTTCCCTTACATCCCTTTCCTCCCCCACTCCTCCTTCCCTTACCCCAAAGTTGTAAAGTTTGTTTTTAACATAGTGTTTTGTGCATTCTCATTGTTGCAATGGGTCAACCTGTACCTTTGTTTCAGCATTTTCTTATTTCCCTTCCCCTCCCCAAATTAGAAAAATGTATACACAAGATGCAGGACACCAACACCCAATACAACTCTCCATCTCTTTCTCCACAATCAACTCCAGCAGGGAGGATCTCTGGGTGACCATGGGCACATTCCGGAAGCCAGTTTTCTTTCTTGACCAATATGGGGGCCTCTTCAGGGTTGTTTCCTCACTTTAGCTTCCCCTGTATGAGTCCTACACAGTGACAGCTTTGACAGAATCAGGACTTTACTGCCTTACCTGGACATCATCCTATTCAGGGTAAGAACACTCCCTTTGTAATGGCTTGTAGAAGCCCTTCCCTCCTAAATTTGGTCTCTTAATATATTCAGAAACTCTCATTTTATCCAAAATGTCTTCAACCTAGGGAAGATGCAACAAGTCCAGCAATAATCTGACACTCAGATCCTTTTGTCAACACCCTGCCACGGTCAACCTGGAGGTCTACTCCTTGTCAAGTCAATAACTTAAGATTGCAGTTTGTTTAAGAGGAAGTACAGAAAGTAATTTAAAGCATCCTGACATTTGTTAAGCTGACACATACAAAAGCTGGGTTCATTTGTTCTGAGTTAAACTGTATTTCACAAACCAGATCTTAAGACCAAACATTTGATTTCCTGTGCTTTTTGCTGAGTTGAGAACCTGGAGATAGTCTTTTTGTTGTTGTTGTTCCCCTGACAGTTGTGGGGCTTGAACTCTGGGCCTGGCTACTATCCCTGAGCTCTTCAGCACAAAGCCAGTGCTCTATCACTTGAGCCACAGCACCACTTCCGGTTTTCTGATGGTTTATTGGAGATGAGTCTTTCCTCACCCAGGCTGGCTTTGAACTGTGATCCTCAGATCTTAGCCTCTTGAGTAGCTAGGATTATAGGCGTGAGCCACCAGCACCCTGCTGAAGATCATCTTTAGAAGAGAGTCCTCAACATTCTTCATAAATAAGTCAACTATTTTATTTTACCTACACCATCAATGTACATCTTACCTATCTGCACTTTCTCACCATGACATTAAGTCACAATCAGACTCCATACACCATGAAAAAATTAGGTGGTTTAAGTGTATTTTCAACGTAGATATTTTCTTCCAACTGTGGGAGTCAATGAACAAATTTGAAAAGTTATTCTAATGATGAGAGAAGAGTGTTTAGGATATGCTGTGGGAAACACTTTCTTGTTACAAAAGGAAAACCAGTTTCAGCAGATGGGTGCAGACTTTGCATTCACTGCAAAGGGAAGTCTTATGAAAAGTCATGTTAGATACCTCCAAGGCACATAGACCTACTCAATGTGTAGAATAAACCAAGATAAAATCAAATATATCCTGTGTATGTATGTCTCACCAGTTTCTTTTGTTCTGGGATTATTTAGTTAGTTAAGTTATTTTGGCAGCAATGAGATTTAAACACAGGACCACCTTACACTTGCTAAGCAGATTTTTCTCTCATTTGATCCATCCTGCAGGTTCCTGAGTTCCAATGACATGTTTTATGTTTATGCAAGTTTCTGGACTCAGTGGAGGCTGGTAAGGAATGCTGATTAAAAATGCAGACTGTCCGTCTGTCCTGGAGAAAACAGAGCAATTGATTTTCCTGGAGAGAACTCTAGTCCTATCAGAAATTCTCTTAAAGATGTACCACATCTATTACATCTTATTTGATAAAAACATTTACACCAGAATGATAAAGCTATTCATATGATGAATGAAGGACATATTAAACATAAGAAGCAGTGAGATTCTTTCCTTCTAACTAATATAAAACTGTTCTCATATATTGGGTTTTCTCTCATTCCATCTTTATAGGCTTCCAGGTTCACAACTATCAGGGAGTAACCAAACATCCATTCATTAGCTCAGTTCACACAGTACAGCAATGAAGATCAGTTGATTTGCCTAAAAGAAATACTAGTCCTGTCAGAAATTCAATGAGAGGTTCTCCAGTCATTACATTGATAAATGCTAAAACATTTATCAAAAAAAATACAGGGGTATGACAAAGTGGTTGGTATGACGATTGAAAGACAAATTGGATCAAAATAAAAATAAAAGTATGAAATGAAATTCATACAAGGTAAGATGGCACAATTTGTAAGCACAAGTTAATGACTGAGCATTAGAGGAAGTAATGTAAGTATGTTTGCATGTTAGCAGACATCTTGTCAGTATATTAAAAACAAAAACAAAAAAACAAAAACAAAAAAATGTTAAAGTATAAATGCTTGAGCCAGGTTCCAGCGGCTCATACTTGTAAACCTAAATATTCAGGAGGCTAAGATCTAAGGATCATGGTTCAAACCCATCCAGGGCAAGAAAATCTTTGAGACTATTGTCTCCAATTTACCATCAAAATGCCTGAAGTAGAGTTGTGGCTCAAGTAGTAGAGCATCAGACTTGGAGTGGAAAAATTCAGGGACAGTCCAAGTCCTGAATTCAAGCACTAGGACCAGTACCAAAATGCTTGTGTGTGTGTGTGTGTGTGTGTGTGTGTGTGTGTGTGTGTGTGTGTGTATATGTGTGTTTGCTTGAAACAGTTAAGAAACATCTTGAGCAAAGTATGGTGGCACATCCCTATAATTGCAGCACTCTGGAGACAGACGTAACTTAGCATGAGTTTGACACCAGCTGGAAGAAAGTGTATTGACAGAGCAATTTTTCAACATCTTGTTGGAAAGCAATGTAAATGAAAAATCTGAATGATATTAAGACTATATAAAAATGTCATTCAAGTCAAAATAGTCTGGGATAAAAATATATAAATGAAAATCCTGCAATATTAGTCCAATAGAAAACCTCAATCAATTCATAAAAATCTATCTTTTAATGGTCATTTGCCACATTTATGTTAAAAATAGATAAAAGTTAATCCACTAGCATATAGAATTACTTTTCATCCATGAATGGACAGACATGGTTTAAAATAAAAGCAAAAAAGAACCCAATAGGCATTATTAAACAGGACACTATCAATCTATGTTATAAAGTGATTTAACAAACCTCACAGAATTCTCACCTTAAGGTTTATATTCAAGAACAAAAATGAGAAACAAGCTGGGCAGCCAGTGGCTCACACCTGTAATCCTAGCTACACAGGAGGCTGAGCACTGAGGATCATGGTTCAAAGCCAGCCCAGGCAGGAAAGTCCTTGAGACTCTTTTCTCCAATAAACCACTAGCAAACCAAAAGTGGCACTCAAGTGATAGAGCACTAGCCTTGAGCTGAACAGCTGAGGGACAATGCCCAGGCTCAGAGTTCAAGCCCCACAACCAACAAAAAAATAATGAGAACCACATAGTCCAGAAATCTACATGATTAAGAGCCACTGACAAAAACTTTTAGAAGAACACCTACAGATGATGTTTGGATTATTTAATAGAAATTATTATCAATCAAGCTATTAATAAAGCTTATATTAGCAGGATTTCACCATATAAGGAATTTCCACAGGAGATATAAAATACTTCAGCTGATGCCTTGGTTTTAAAAGATTCTGATGCTAGATGCATTTTTAGTGCACTATGTTAGCACTCCTGGAGTAATTGAAGGCTTCTACACATCCTGTGTGGAGGATTTCACACCATAATATGTTCTTTTATGCAATTCAAACAAATGCCTAGAAGTGGCCCCACACCCTTTCGTGACCTTACCTCTTTTCACTAGATATTGTCAGGTTCAACACAAAGGTCATATGGTAAGGAACTATTCCCACATTGTGCATGAAGAAAAACAATCTTCTCTCCAGTGTAGTCCTTCATCTCAGACTCTCTTCTCTTCTCCTCCCCTCCCTTCCTGTCCTCTTCCCCTTTCTCTTTCTACTAGTAAAAGGCTTAGAACCTCAGACTTGCTGAGTTTGTTTGCCTAACTAGTCCATATTACTTGAGTCATTCTTCACATTGAAATCTCAATTTCCTAACCAGCAACTGGCCTGTTCTGCTACTTTATAGAATAAGATATGATGAATGCTTTCACATATGAACCATGTTCGAAGGGTTTTTCTCACCAAATTCTTTTGTTCAGGGATTTATTATTTATTCAATTAGTTAAGTTATTTTGGCAGCAATGAGATTTAAACACAGGACCACCTTGCGCTTGCTAAGCAGATTCTTCTCCCTTCCATTCATCCTGCCAGTTTCTCTCCACTAGCATGTTTTATGTTTATGCAAGTTTTTGGACTCAGTGAAGGCTGATAAGGAGTGCTGACTAAGGAATGTGGACTGTCAAATCTGTTCTGAAAACAACAGAGCAATTGATTTTTCTGGAGAAAACACTAGTCCTATCAGCAATTCAATGAAGAATGCTCTTAAAGATGTACCACATTTATTACATTTTATTTGCTAAAATATT